ATATATATATATCCTGCATATATAAGTGACATTATTCTTATTATTTTAATCACTGAAAACTTCTCGATTTAGTTTAGAATTCTGTTAATTGAATTTAGAACAATTGACGGCAAAATTTAAAGTCGACAGACGTTTGTTTACATAAATATTAAAATGTTTCATGTAAAATTTGCTTTCACTAAAACAAATTCTCTTGTAATAATAGTATTGAGATTTATAAAGCTTTTCTAATAAGAGAGTCACCACACTCGTCGCGGAATTAACTTGAGCTGGTCAGAAAATCATTACATTTATGCAATAAGAGCGAAAAACTGTCTTTTTCACTCTTATTACACGGACAAAACAGTTATTTTGTTATGCACGACTGCAAAGTAGTAGTTTGACGTGAGTGCTTGTATTGAAACTTGAGCAAGCGTATACGTCTAAAATTGATGATTGAGGTTCAAAAGTAGAATCCTGAGTATAGCGAGGGTAGACATAAGACGCAAAACTACTTTGCTGCCGAGCGAAACACAAAACTTTTCACCTCACAAAACGAAGAAAATGGTAGATGAAAGAAAAACAATTGAACTATAACAAATCAAGTTTAATAGACAAAATCAGTTATTTTTGTCAATATAATGTAAACAATAATAAGAACGAAAAATATACCAACGGATTTATATTACATAAATAACGTACAACAAATCGCGTAGTTGAACGTGTCATATTTTATTCGTCGAAAGAAAAAGTTAGGTGCACCACAATCCATCGTCAAGTCCGAATTTCAAAAACCTTTTCCGCGCAGATTTCTAATGAGAAAGAAAGCCTTTCCGAGCTAGTGAGGTGAAAAAGCTTTTTCTGTCCAGTCTAATGCGATTCCTTGTCAAGTCTAGTGACTCATTTACTCGTAGCGGAGAAACCTTTGTACCCTTCTGTCGTTATCGTCGTCACGGTATCGTGAACTCTAGAATTCGGAGCAACAACAAGTCGAGCATGCAACCCGTAATCTTGCTATTATTTCTGCAAACATGATATAAGTACTAACACGGCGGGACAGTCGCCTACATTATTATTATGTATACTCGTAAAAATTACAATCAATTAACCAAATTCATTTATGTTTTTCCGCTACACAGATTATAAAGGCGTCAGAAGAACCTATTTTGAACCACTATGATTCGCCTTGCGGTATACATAAGTTTAATGAATATAATCTTTAGGCGAACATTCGTGAAAAAATGTGTACAGTTATACTTATGCGCTCCAATTCGTAACAAAAACCAAAAAATTAAATTCTATAACAATAATAAATTTAAGATGTCTGTTGTAAAAAAAAATAAAAAACACAATGTCAGTTTTATAAAAAATCTCCAATATTATAAAATGTCATATAATTCAGGTAATAAAAAAAATATTTTTTAATAATTTAGTTATTGCAATTCCTAATTTCACCCGGAACTTTGTTGTAGATTTAAGAAGTCATTAAAACTACTCTTTAGAAAAAGCAATTTTTCACTATGTTAGTTTGAAGGTAATCAGAACTGATGGAAATAAATTTATGTGACGATTTGCGAAAAATGGAATTTAGAAAATTCGATATGTTTTTCCATGATAGAGTTTTTTAAGCCGCATATAGTCCGCATGCATATATTTAGAGCTTTGATATGCGCTTAATATACAGTGTATTTCTCCAGAAAATTCCATACCCATGGTTATTTGCCACATAACAATGATAGAAGGTCACACAGCATTTCAGTTTTCTATTTAGTCTTACCTTACCTACCTTTTATTTCTTTTTATGATATTTTACCCGGTAATCATTTAACGACATGGAGTAATGGCCTCGGCATGGCAACAGACGATGGTTCGAGTCCAGTCAGATTAAAGGAATTTTTCTGACTAGTGAAGTATTTAAAAAACAATATGATTACTTATATGGCAGTAAAACATCATGATATTCAATAAACACATTGCAATGGGAGCATGTACTGTTTGTACAAAATATCTTACGATTTCAACGGATATTTTTTATCTATGAAAATTAAATTTTCTTTTCACTTTGTGTATACATATCATTGCTGGTGACTCTACAGCTCTGGAATTGCCGATAAGACTGATTGAGGAAATATTGCCTTGACGATCAAAAGATAAAAAAATACTGGAGTTATAATCTACGAGAGCGAATGCGCTCTGAAGATTTGCGCTCGCTTTCATGCATACCAACGTATACTTTGCCGGGACACAACAACGTATATGGAACGCGCAGGTCGGACTACATGCTACCAGAAATTCTGAACGATCTACCAGGCACAGTGCTAAGTAACATTGAGTAATGTCAAGAAACGCAAAGCTGTTTTAAAGAGACACTATCATGGTAAGTAGTATAATATCTATAATACTTATGTAAATGTAGACATATACTTTAGAATTAATTAATATTATAGTGGATTAAGTTAATTCAAGTGTTGAGCTTGTTAGCTCATCTCTAGGTGCTTAAACCGAGATCGTTGTTGCAATTCGAATAATATGACTTTTCATAATTACGACCTTTAAGCCTTTTTTGTCAGCGTTCAATACGTAAAATTTCAAAATCAAGCCTCTAATGACTGCTGTCATTCAATTTAATTTAATGACATAAAAATTGAATAACCTGACATTACAATAGTTGCATGTATTATTAGTAGCATCTTCACGTGTTTAGTAAAGTTCAAACTTAACAAGTCAAATTTAAACCACATCCTATTATGCGACTGAGCTGAAATTTTGTTCACTCGTGTGAAATCTATAACGTCATCTTAGAGTAAATACCTCGTATGTGATTTCTATGTAATAACAATAACGTTTTTAGTTAGCATTTTAGTTAAATTATATCGTATTGTTTCAGATAGTATAATATTTGTAGCAGTAGAGCTCCTTGTGAAAGAGTTCGTCCGGGGTAATATTGCCTACTTCTGCCGCTAAGCAGTAATGTTAGCATTACTGTGTTGCGGTTTTGAAGGGTAATGATGCCGGTGAAATTACAGGCACATGGGACTTGTCAACTTATGTCTCAGGGCGATGGGCGCAGTGGCATTGCCCCACAGATCTTTGCGATTTAAAACTCGTTAGTGGCACTGCAACAATTATGGACTGGCGTGTAGCTTACCATCAGACGCATTACTTGTTCGTCCCGTCACTTGATATTATAAAAATAAAAAAGTTATTTAATAATGTACTCAAGCAAGAGGTTTAAGTATATGTTTTGTTGCAATATAAATCAGTAATCCAAACTAGGCCACGACAAAAAACTTGAATAATTTATTGACTACTTAGGGTTTCGCGATTAAAAATGACTGCTACTCAGCCGTGGCTTTAGGACCTATAAAGAGTACGAAACGTTGGTTGTTTTAAAAACTAAATACGCAATTTAGATTCGAAAAGAATGTTTCACTTTTAATTGAATTTTTAATTTTATTGGATATATTTTACGAAATGAATTGCATCCTATTTTGTCGTACTTTTTTTAAATTTATTCTATGAAACGATAAGCAAATTTTTAAAAAACGACTCTTCTTTATCGCTGGGTAAGAACATCAATTTTACGTATTGAACGCTGACAAAAAAAGACTTAAAGGTCGTAATTATGAAAAGTCATATTATTCGAATTGCAATGACGATCTCGGAATATTGCCACTGCACTGCTCAAAATTGTCTAGATATCAATGACATATAAGAATTGTTATCAACTGTTATCAAATACATTTTTTTTTTATAATATCAAGTGACAGGACGAACAAGTCGTTCGCCTGATGGTAAGCTACACGTTTGTCCATAACAGAGCAGTGACATTCAGAGCTTTAAATCGCAAAGATCTGACGGGCACTGCCACTGCGCCCGTCACCCAGAGACTTAGGTTGACAAGTCTCATGTGCCTATAATTTCACCATGTATATCTTGGTGATAAGCAACCAGGGCATTGACCAATGATAACGCCCTATAAGCAGGGGCCTGTTGTGAAGCATTACATCGCGCAACGCCAATCGCAAATACAGGTTGCTGTTGAAGGCGCAAGTATTTGTCGGGCATATACAACGTGTAACGCGCTAACTCTTCCGGATTGTCAATTTCATCACAATTGATGACATTAAAGAGTCGAGGTAACAGCGCCACCTTTCGTCTCAACTCTAAGGTATCTAAACGAACGAACGGGACACTAGTAAAGGTAGTACCCGTAAAGCTTTTTACAAAAATGGCGAGCAATTTTCATTGGATTCTTTCAATCGTAAGGCAATTTTTTTTCGTGACGATCCCAAATTATGGACGACTTACACTCGAGCTGGCTATGTACGTATGCATAGGATAGTGCTATTACAAACTGTATGTCTGTAAATTGAGAAGATTCTGTAATAAATTCTATGTTAAAATTTGTAATTTGTTTTATTTTTTTTAGTTGTGCATTAAAGTGTTCATATACATTTAAAAACATTGTGGCCCTAACTAAAGTAATCTTATGACTAATTACACAGAGGTTTTAGAAAACATCTTTCTGCTGATTTGGGTATTTTTGGAGATTGACCGCTGTTCTCGATATGTGGGTAATTTTTAGGTTAGTTTTCTCCACCTGAATTCGGTGGCAATTTTTATTATTTGAATATTCTAGAATATATAGATGTTATATAAATATAAATGATAAAAATTACCACCCAAATTAGGTAGAGAAAATTAACCTGAAAATTACCCATGTACGATTATGTAAATAATACCGCTGTCATATATCGTCGGCAAAATTTGAAACCAGCGTAACTCCGTTTTTCGACGGAATCCCTTTTTTACTCTTCAAGCGCATATCGGGCAATTAAAGCTTGCAATATAATTTGTAGACCCTTTTTTAGTTATAAAGTAAAGGTATAATCATAAATTGTCAATTATTTGTAGTAAATCTGTTTTTTGTGTCTATTCAATAGTACCCATCATTGGCGGTTACGAGGTTTACGAATTTAACCAACGATAAGTTATTGGTGCACAACTACTGTACTTACAGAAAAATAAAATAACTTCCTTCCAAATTCCTCCATTCAATCACCAACAATTGTATTATGGTATCCTTTTCCATATAAAAATTAAACAAACAGTTCATAACACGACTTTGTTACTATTACGCACTGGCAAAAGCTGTAGGATGCAATGCGCGCACACATAAGACTGAGCCAGAAGTCGACAGTTCCATGCGCAGGGGGTGATTGCAACACTAGTGAAGGGTCAATGTTAATGTGCGCTTGTTTGACACACGGACAATAGAGTTTTTGGTCGATAAGTAACTTTTTTCGTAATACAAAATTTGACAAAACAATTTATAGGATTTTAAAGATGTGACAAAATCGTTTTAAAGGTGCTTTATAGCACGCAACTGCTTTTGTAAACTGTTGAATTTTAAATTTAGCTTTTGAATTTTTCTCTCACGTTTGTTATTCTTGGGAAATACATATGTATTGTATATGGACGTCGTCGTGTGAAATTTACTTAAATACTTTTTACGAACCTACGCCCAGTCGTGGCGTATACTAACAGTTGATTGAGTAAAATTTAGTTTGGTGACTCCCTCCAAGTAAAATTTTTCCCGTACTAATACGGTTCATTTTGCTTTGATGGAGCGACAGGGACACTGGCTTTATTTCAGAATTTATTTTTTTACAAACTAAATTAAAGCTATTTGAAAAATCTATATCGTACACTATGTTCTATTTCTGCCAGTTGATATAAAAAAAACCATTGACATATGTAAAATACCTATTGCATACAGCGATTTCCTTGTACAGTTTTGAAGTAAGTTTGTGTTTTTTTTCTATCATGAAAACTTTTAGGAATCGTGTTTCACTCCGTATAAAATAATTAGGATATATCCTCAATTTTACTATATATTATTTCCAAAGCGATTGATTCATCATTTTCACTGTTATGCGGAATCAACCAGAGCTATTTGAGGTTGTATAGATTCTTAAGGCACTTCCATTGTCAACAGACGTTACTAATTTCTTTATCGTAATTTCTTCCGTGTTTACGATAGAGAAATTGGTAACATCTCTGTTGGGAGAGCGATAGACCGCGTTAGGCGAAAATGTCGCTGGCTCAAATCCAGCTGCATCAAAGGAAGTTTTCTTTGACTTTGTTCGATCTTTGTATTAATTATAACAATAAGCTAGTAGAGTACTAAAAGAAAAACTCGTATTAGTACGAGTTATTCTGAGTAAATCTAGAGCTCCGTTACAAATCTATATCAATTATAGGAATCCAAGGCTTAGTTCGGAAAGCGCCGGCGCACGGGAAGTAATTATTGACGTACAGGTATTAGTTGTAATATGGTTGTAATCGTGTATGAAAGAAGTAATTTATTTTAATTACTTCAGACTCTAGATAAATTTTGAGGACTTCAGTGGTCGTAGGAGGAGATAACGGGTTCTGTTTTCAGTATGACCAATTTGGGAAGTACTTTTCTAAAAAGTGAATTTTTCTGCCACACATTGTACAGGTCCCTAGTTTGAGATTAGATAGCTGGTGTGGTTGTTTAGCACATTATTATTATTTAGAATTTAACATGTAGTTACTATGAAGCCGTAGTAATCTAATTCTTTGACCTACCGCCTCCCAAGCAGAGGTCATGGGTTCGAAATCGGGCTTGCACCCTTGGGTTTCTCAGAATTTAGGTGCGAAATTTAATATGAAATTTACCATGAGCCCTTCAAAACCTGCACGTGGAAGAAGGTTCACAAACCTCTGAAAACGTGTGAAGTCCCTAACCCGCATTGGTCCAGCGTGGCGGACTATGGTCTAAACACCCGCCTGAGAGGAGACTCGTGTCCAGTATTATAGTGTTGAGTTACTCATACACGAGGCAACTCGGTTGTACCACTCGCTTGGTTAGTTTGTCACAATTAATGCAACAATCTATACTGCAAGGTAGTATGATCATACGATTTTACATCATTTGATCATACTACCACAGTACTAAATAAAATTAGCATTTATTTATATTATATTATAACACTTAAGTTATCCAATTGATTGATACCATCACGTTATGAAAATGAACGTTAAGTCATTGTCGTAGGTGCAAACATTCTTACCACTACCTCACCTCATTTGAAGTAAGACTTTGTACCGCCTCATTTTTTCAAATGAGGTACTTTCCTCAAACTCATTTTAATTTCATGTCCTACCCAACACTACAGCATTAGGGCTTTATGAATAAGTAGATGACATCAAGTAGTTGTTATTGAATACTATCGTACCGTATCGTGAATAATATCGCAAATTTTATCATAGGACCTTTTTATACTTACAGTAATTATTTCCAAGCGTTGAATTTTCTGTTGTGAATTAACAATGATTTTCTTACCTAATATGTAATATAAATATGTTTCGTTTTTATGATACCAAGTGACCGGACGAACAAGTTGTGCGCGTGGTGGTAAGCGACACGCCTGTCCATAACAGTTGCAATGCCATTCAAAGCTTTAAATCACAAATATCTGAAGAGCACTGCCACTGCGCCTGTCACTGAAACATATGTTGACAAGTCTCATGTTCCTGTAATTCCACCAACACGGGAAGAACAAGGGTGTTCTTCAAAACTGGAACACAAAATATGCTCACATTTGTGCTTACCAGCAGATATAGATAATGTGGCAGTACTTTCCTGGACGAACTCTGCTACGAGAATGTCGTCGTTTAGAAAGTGATAAATGAAGATTAATTCTGGTTAAAACGGAAAAATATAATAAAACATATGTTACAAAGGTCGACTGTAATTTGCACTTGCCCCAGTCGCTGTAGTGAATGCATCTGCAAGGCGAATGACAATCTCTGAATATGACTAAATTAGTTTCCAAGTATATTAAAATTCTGTCAACCGGTTTCCCTTTTGAGACTTAAGGAACCGGTAAAACAACTTCCTTTCATTTCTCATTTCCATCTCGCGTGATGGTTACTACCAAGGGTAATCATTACGATGTTGTATAAAATAGTAGGTGCTACTTCTGTTCCCAATAACTTTAAAAGTGTATAATACTAAAAATATTAATACTACCTATATTTCGTAGGAAAATAGTTACTCTTAAATCCAATATGCTTTTATCACAATTACCTTGCTTCCAGGGCTTTTTATTATTATTATGGATTACGGTACCAACTACATATAACAATGATGCAGCACATATTTTTAAAACCCGGTATGGGTAAAAATGGTTAAAAACCCATTTTAACAATTTTTACCCATAATCATTAAATTAAGGATGCACGTCACGATTCGGTTTATATGAAAATCGATTGTAGTTTATACGATTTAACTATTTTTTGTATCGATTTATTTCGATACGGTTTTCAAACGAATCGATTCAATAGAAAGGCAAATCGTATCGTCTAGACCAGAAAGCAATAAACTTTTGTAATATCATTCAATTTGAATGGCTGGTAAATTACAGGGCACATGAGGTTTGTGAACTTATGTCTAAAGGTGAGAGGCGCAATGGCAGTGCTCCTCAGATCTTTGCGATTTAAAGCTCTTAGTGGCACTGCAATTACTGGCGTGTCACTTAATACCAATCGCACATCACCTGGTACCATAAAAAAAATGATATTCTACAAACACAAGAAATAAAATACAACACAAACAACGCCTTCATTTGGAATTTTACAGTAGAACGAGGTTTTTATTAGCACTTACATTATTTAATAAATAACCGGACGTTGGAAAATATATTCATTTATAGACAATTTAAAATAATTTGTTAGTTAAGTTACTCAATGCTATTACAGTGGTCATGATTTTTTATTTGCCAATATAAAATTAAATTAAAAAACTAATGTATGTTACCTATATTTTTGATTTCCAATTTGTTTGATTATTTTCTAATAGTTATTGAAATATTTGATAAATATACATAATTTCACTTCCTTTCCGTTCCTAATATAAATTCAGCCACTCTCTCCTGAAAAGTTGTCATTTTGCAGATTTGATGTTATTACATAATAGGTGAGATTTTAAACAAACACGATTGACAACAGATTGTAAACACAGGGGTGTTTACCGATCAACCGTTTTTTTATTAAGTTTTTCATTTTTTGTTTTTTGTGTCATGTCTAAATAAATTATATACGTAAAATATATAGGTATGTATTTGCCACCTGTACTCTAGGTTACACAAACATTACACGTATTATATTTATTTTATACTGTTTTATACAGTATAAAACCATGCAAGTACCATACCATGCAAGAACCATAAAAGTTTCGCTTATGATATTTTTTTCTGTTTTAAGTGTAGCACCAACCTTTTGTTTTTTTTTTTCTGTTTGGACTAATGGTTGACTGGCAGAGAATGCCTTATGGCATTGAGGCCGCCATTTGTACATTAATGTCTTGTGCAAAAAGATTAAATAAAAAAAATACATGCTCATATTACATACCAAGCCAAGCGCAGATTACAGAACTATACTCTTAGCTGCGCCCTTACAGGGCACATGTAGTGTAATTTTATTGCATGTTCGCTAATAAATAAATACTGAAAAAAACTACATACCACTCATACATACATATCACACATAAATCTTTAAGATTAATTTAAGTACTTAAATATGTTTACTTGTACAGTTGAGCTAATTGCGACAGTAAAAACAGTTTTATTATTCGAGGCCGAGAGTCTGGCGAGACTCGTAACTCAGGTTTTTCAGTCCTACCACGGGCGCCAGTCATTCCCTTTAGTAGTCGCTATCCCAAAATCGTAATAATGTCACATAAATTTAATTAGCTCTTAAGTTGCTTTTGTGAGTGAAAATAAATAAGTATTATTATTAATTTCGCCTGGAACAAGTTGATACTTAAGTTAATATTTTTGTTAGAGTTGATACTATAAGTTAAGGCCGAGATTCTTAAACCACTTGCTACATAAATAATCTAGAATTTGTCCTATACCGAACATGCGAAATAAATCCATGTATTTTTTTCCGCTTGTAACGTATGCGTTTCATAATGGTAAAGATCTCCAGGCCAACGGTCATACCAGGTGTAAGACGAGTTGCGAAAGCGCATGTACCCACGATGACTTCACCTCCTAAGAGTTTAAATTCATAACAGCTTACGCATGATCTTGCATATATTTATCTCCATTATTAAAATCTCGAATATTTGAATATGTATATAATATTGACGGCTTTTGTTAAACAGGCGTTT